GTTTTTGGGAAAGGATGTGTCTGAATTCTCTGGTCACACACCTGGGTAATTGATCCTAGATATATTCCTGCGCCAGGTGATGCTAATTGCAGTGTAATTTCAAATCACTGCATATCTCTAGGCAGGCATGTGGACCTGGGTATTGCATCTTTATCTTGAGGCCCAGCCTTCTTCAGACATACCTCCAGCCACAACTCTGATATCTGTATATCTCACCAATATCCTCAAGAGCCTAGTCCATTTCTTACTGTGTATTAATTCCTATCTAACTTAGCTCCCTAAAATAATAGGATGTTAGTCCTCTTAGATTTGTTAAGACTGGTTTTTATGGCTTAACATGTTACAGAGGTACCTTGGTTCACAAACTTAATTCATTCCACCATTCTGGTCGTGAACCTGATTAAACCAAATTAAATTTCCTCATAAGGATCAGTATAAATAAGGTTCATCTATTCTGAACCCCACAGTCTTAGTTACATTTCTCATTGATGTGGGAGAGCATCTAGACACAAGCCATAGCACCTACCAGTGTGCTCACAAACCAGTTTTGGTCATGAACTGAATCATGAATTGAACCTCACAAGGTTCAATGTAAATAAAGAATCTATTCTGAACTATATGTATTTTTAACCATAAAAATGTAAAACAGGTATATTATAGTGTAGCATGCAGACTGAGAACACTAATGTTGCTTGAGGCAACTTCTAGGTTGGAGGACAGGAAGGTGAGTGAGAGGGTTATATTTTGGAAGGAAAGTTTCCCTCCATAAGATCAGGGGTAGAACTCCTTCATTGGGGTAGAAACTGTCTTTGTCTCTTACCTGAAGGGTGAGTTGAGATAGGATGGTGCTTGTCAAACACCACTTGAGATGCCAATCCTAGCACTCATTTCAGTTTCCCCTAATAAATTTTATCACATCACTGCTAACTTTCTCCCTGTCTTCCTCTTCCTTAGTGAAATGCTCAAAAAGCACCTTTTGCTGTTTACTCTGGAGTTCAGCAAGTTCTTCCATCATCAGCTCCTCCTTATGCTCCTCAACAAGCTCCTGTATGTCTGTACCATCAACATTTAGAAGCAAACTCTTGCCCATGGACTCAGCCTCCTCCACTACTAGTACATTAGACCCCTCAAAGTCACATTCAGTGACTCATTCTGGCCACAGTTTCCTCCAGGCTGAGTTTAACGTGTGGTATATGACATCTTCCCAGGCTTTGTTAATGAGGTTGATGCAGTGAAGGACACTGACATATTTCTTCTAGAACTCTTTCGAGTCGAGGACATTTCCTCATTGCCATTAAAATACCTGGTGAAGAGCACCTTTGTGTACAGCTTCTTGAAACTGCATATCACTTGCTGGTCCGTGGGCTACAGAAGATGTGTTTTTTTGGGGAATACGAACTTGACCTTTATGAAATCATGCTCAGCATCCATATCATTCACCAAGGCTGGAGGTATTGTCCATCAGAAGGCACCTTTTACACAGTTGCTTGTCTGAAAGATATTTCTTAACAGTGGGTGTGAACATCTTGTGCAGCCATTACATGAATAGTTAGTTGCCTTGTGACTCAACCTTTGTCATTGGCCTTTCACACAGCAGGCAATCTGACCTTGTTCATATTCTGTTCCTTGAATGCATGAGGGGATCTTGAAATGGTGTACCAGTAGTGACTTAATCTTCAGATTGGCACTTATGTTCGCACACAGCAAGATTCAATCTGTCCTTCAAGGACCTGTGCCCCAGCAATTATGTTCAGCATCATCTTACACAAGAGCCTTATTTCATTACAGTTGAACACTTGTTGAACAAGGTACTTTCTGCCTTCATGAATTCCACAAATTCTTTCTTACAGGCTGCTACAGTGCCCTTGTCAGAACCGGAAGTCTCACTATGTCTTACCACACTGTGGATGCTACCTCACTTGTCAAACTTATCAAACCACCCTCTACTGACTTTAAATTCATCACTTGTTGCACTTATAGAGGGATTTTCTTGCAGTAAATTACTGTGTAATTTTCTGCCTTTTTCACAAATGATAGCTTTACTAACACTATCACCTTCCAGCCACACTAACAAAAACTTTTCCACCTCTTCCATTGCTTGTGTCCTCTGCTTGGTTAACAATGTTACTGCTTTCTGCCACATCAGCTCCTTTGATGGAATCTTTATTTTTCAAAATAGTTGAGATTCTAGACTTTTCTGTCCTGTACGCTAAGGCCAGATCAGGCATACAAATACCATGCTCATGCTTTACTTCAATTTTCTTCTTCAATTAAATGGTTATTTTCTTAAATATCTTCTTACCATTATTGCTGTCCACATTCTGGTTATCTCCAGTACAGCTCTGCACATGCTTGTCGCCTTCATTACCACTCTGTACTTTCTTTTTACTGCCATGCTTGCTGTGCAGTTTCTTTGGAGTTGTGCTGGATTGAATAGTACTGTGCAGTACTGTATGTGCTAAAAAGCATGTAAAAAAGCTTCATAGCAAGTGAAGCTGTGACCATGATCTCAGCTACAGAAATCTACAATCACGTGTCATAGCAGGAAAAGATGGTTGTGTTGTGTTCATTATTTGATGCAGAGTTCAAAAATACAAGCAAAATTTTTGCTGAACTCTTCTATTCATGAACAGAATAGAAGGGATATTACTGTATCTATACTAGAGAGTGTTCCATGTACATTGCCTTCTTGGTATGAAATTTTCTGATATATGAAAGTGGAATATTTTATGTTTACTTGCTTCTTTAATCTTCGTTTTTAAATTCTTTCTACAACAAATCTTCACAAACACAGAAATGTAAAATAACACCCATCTATTACTTCAAGTCAGAAATCTGGGCACAATCTAGCTCACCTGGGTTCTGTTATTGGGATCTCACAAGGCCAAATTTGAGGAGTAGCCAGGACTACATTCTGTTGTGGCAGTCCTGCAAAGGAATTTGCTTCTAATCCCTTTCACATCTTGGTAAAATTTATTTTTTTTCTAACTTTTTATGTGACCTTTTGTATCTTAGAGCCAATTGTAGTGAGTTGGGTCCTTTCTGTGTTTCAAATATGCCTTAGCATTAGGCAGGAAATATTCTCTGCTTTTAAGGGCTCATGCAATTATATTGGCTTTATGCAAAAAATTTTGCATAATCTTATTCTAACACCAGTTGAACATTAAGATCATTATTTTAATATATCTGTAATATCCTCTTTGTAATGTAACATACCATATTCACAAGTGTAATACCAGGGCCTGCTTGTATGAGAAGTTAGAAATGTACTCATCACAATCTTGTGTCTTGCAAACTGACTGAGCCACTTACTGTTTCTAATAGTATTAGGTTTCAATGATGATTTCTATACACAAAATCATGTTTGTGAATGAAGACAGTTTTTCTATTTTATTTCCCATTCTGAATGCCTTTTATTTCTTATAGTTATCTAATTGCCCAGGCTATAACTTTAAATACAATGTTGAAAACTGTGGTAGGAAACATACTTGTCTTTTTCCCACTTGTAAGGGTGAAACATTTGTTCTCTCTCTGTAATGTGTGATGGTAGCTCTGTTTCCCATAGATATCCTCTGTGAAACTGAGGAAGTTATCTTGTGGTCCTAGTTTTTAAAAGTTTTTTTTTTTTAAACATGAATGATTACTGGATTTTCCCCAGTGTTCTTCCAAATGTGTTTTAAAAATTCATGTGATTTTTGCCTTTTATTCTATTAATACATTACATTAGTTTAGTGTTCCTGGGGTAGATTGATCTTGATCATGATTCAGTTTGCTATTATTATTCACAATTTTATGTTTTTATTAATAAGGGATATAGATCTATAATTTTCTTTGTTTGTGTGTGAAATGTTTGTCTGTCTTTAGTATAAGAAAGATAATGTCTTCTAGGATGAATTGGGAAGCATCTCTCCATTTTCCAGAGGAATTTGTGAAGGATTGGAATTACATCCTCTTAAAGTACTTGACAGAATTCAATCTATTTGCTATTCCTCTAATTTTGTCTAGATTCTATCAAGTGTAATGACCCTAAGGTACAATCTAATTAGTACTGTTGCTCATCTAGTCAACTATAAATGAATCAATTTAATTAGACTTCAACTGCCATTGATTGTTAAATTTTGTAGTTGGAACAGGTAGAGTAGTTTACATTGATACTTTGGAAATTATTTAAGAAATAGTCTGTCTTGAAAATAATTTAATTTGAGAGAATACCTTTCAAAGTTATAGTGCCTACCAGAAATTTTTAAAAAATTAAAGACCTTATAAAAATCTTCCAATAAGAATAGAATACATATGACAATCTTAATGATTTCAAAGGCTTTGTAAGCTTTTCTTAACCACATACCCAAAACATACATTCTGAATGGCAAAACTCAGTCTCTGACCCTCTTTTACTAGATACTTGTTTCTTTTATTTATATTTTTTCCTCTAAATAAAAATGTTTCCACTGGTTATTCCTACCACTTTCTTTTCAGTGCAGAATGCTAAGACAGGCTCACCTGTGCTAGACCTTTACAGACTGTTGTAGGGCCCTTATTGTTCTTTATTGGGACCTCTGACAGAAGACTTTTTCTGAGGAATAAGATTAGTTTTGCATGTTAGATAGTCATTGAAAAAATAATCCTATGAAAGGTAAGTGAAAATCTATGTTAGATTTATAAGTGGACTCCTATTTAAACTTGGCAATATTGTTAAGGTTTGTATAATAAGGCAGTGAATGATCTCACAGCTCAGAGCAGTTCATAAATATTTTATTTTGAAAAGTATAAATTAAAATTTGATAGATATCTTATAATAATTATATGCTAATCAGTCCTGTTTTGCTGTATTATTTCCCTTTTGGCAGTTTCTATTGGTCACATTGCTTATTTTCTGATTAATAATAGACAAACGAGGAAAAATTAATTGGATCTTATATGTAAGCAGAAAAATATAGATACATACAGTTTACAAAATTCCTCAGTTTGTCTTGTAACAATGCCTTGCTCTTTTTTCTTAGACCAGAAGATCAATTCAGAAGTTACTAGAATGGGAAAATAACAGATTATATCACAAGGTAAGAAACAGTAAGCAAAACCGGGCATGGTGACACACATGTGTAATCCTAGCACTCTGATGGCTGAGGCAGGAAGATCGCCACCAGTTTAATACCAGCTAAACTACATAGTGAGTTCAAGGCCAAGCTGAACTATATAGTGAGAGCCTGTCTCAAAAAAAAAAACCCACAAGGAAAGAAACTACAAGCAAATGAATGCTCTACGTGTAAATCCACATTATTAAATCGAAAAAGAAATAAGTACTAAATAAGAATCTTTCAGGCCATGAAGAAATGGATTAGAGAACTAATAACTCAATTTTTAATATATATTGTTTACCAGGTATTTACCAGTGTTGTGTTTCATATCATATACCTGGAATGCTTTCAATGACCTATTCAAATACATAGGTTATAATTGAAAAGTTCATACAAAACTTAACAAAACTATGCTTTCTTAGCTTGCTTTGCACTGGAAGTTGACTAAAAGGAAATGTGAAACTAGCAATATGATGGAGTATGTAAGTACGAAGTTGTTTTGATTACATTTTTTGGATTTCATCCTAAATGTAGTGTTTTACTATGTTTATCATCTGTCTTCTATTCTTCTTGCCATTTTTCTACACAATCTGAACTTTCATTTGCAATGTACAGGATTCCCTGTATCTTGTTGTAACCAATTTAAAGTATGCTGAAAGCTAACAGTTATTTAGATCGTAGAAAAGTCTTTAGCAATATGCTTAGATGCAAACATTGTATAGCATTGTGTAACAATATGCTTAGATGCAAACATTGTATATGTTCTTTTAATACAGACATAAAACCACATTATTGTGGTGAGAAGAGCTGCTGTTAAAATGTTTTCAAATGTCAAAACTTGCATAAACCAGAAATTGACTTATACATTCTGGATTCACAGTTCTGGCTTTGTTATTGCCTAACATTTACTTCTTTAATGAAGAAACTACAAGTTTTAATATAGATTCCAGTTTTTACTGAAAGCTATACATCTTAGTTATAATTCATAAGTTTGCATATAGCTAATGTGATCAATTTAACATCATTAACATTCAAAAGAATTTTAAATTTATCCAAACTTCAAGCTGCTGACATGTAATACAGTATATACTTAATAATAAAGATACTGTTTAAACCTGGATTATTATGGAATCTGTTGTCACTTTGAATAGTTTTGGGGAAAATGTGCAAATGACCACAAATGTAAAATCTATTAGGGATAAAACATTCAAAAATATATTAGGTATTTATTTCTAAACCTTTCTATAAAATGTTTTGGTCAATCCAGTTGGACATTCTTATTTTTCACAAACAACTTGTAAAAGATAGTAATCCTCAACTAATATCAGCTGCTTTAATTGAAAAACATGTAAACATATTATTCATTTTTTCTATTCCATATAATACAGTTTTAATCTCTGCTAATTAGCTAAAAGCAAAAGGACATGGTAATAGCATAATTTAATAGGGTTTGGTGGCTCGGCATAGTTTTTATCTACCAGTTTAAATTTTAAATTGCCAATCTAATCACAATTTAAGGTAGGTTACGTGTGAGAATTTGGTCATAAATTTTACTTACTTCATATAGTGCGGGATCAAAATACAGTCTTGTGAAAAAATGACCAGACTTTTAGGTTACATGCACTGTATTAAATGAAAAATATTTTGTTTTTATTTTACAGGTAATACTAATAGAAGTCTTACCAAAATATCCCATATTTCGACCTGACTGAGAAGTTTTATTCAGTCACTTCTGTGTTATCTGTCATTTCCTACCCTTAGTGCCTTGTAGATGATTTTGGAATGAAGACGGTCTTCTTTGCTGTATTCAGCTTATTCTTTATAATAGTAGAATATTCTCCTCACTCTTCTATTTGTGTTGATTTAAGAAGAAAATTTGCACATCTTTTTTGTTGTTGTTAAATTAGCTTGTGTTTTGCACTCTAAAATTTTTAAATATACATATACATACACATGCACATATATATAAATATATATATATATTCATATACATAGTTGCCACTAAAAATAAAACATCAATACTGGTGTTTAAAAACAAAAACAACCTTGTTCTGAGCATGCTGCCTTATAATTTTCATACTCAGTGTTTCTAAATACGTGTCATTTTTCTAGACTACTTAATGCTCTGTAATCCCTTACTGAACACTTAAATAAGCTTTCAGTAGCTTTTAGAAATGGTTTTACTCTGCTCTTAAAGGACATGCAATTAATCATTCTGGTTTTGTCCTGCACTTTGCTAAATTATTATTTTATGTTAATGAACAAAATATTTAAACTTCTAAAGACTTGTAAATATTGTCTCTTTGCATAATGTCAAATGTGGTATGCCATAGTTTACAGAATGTAATATTACTCTTACTGTATTGCCAACACTTCTGCATAGATTTTAATATGAATGAAATTTGCAAGCGTCCTTTTGAATGCAGAGACCATTAACATACAGTTTTATGGCAAAGCCATGAGTTTGTTAAAATTTCAGATGTAGGGCAAGGTTGCCTTTTGTGTAATAAGCAGATTAAAATTGATATCATTGCCTCAGCTATCATGCATTGCACCTGAAACTAAGGACATTATGTTTCCCCATTTATTCTGCAGTTCCAATTTTCACCTCTGCTGCTTCTATCAAATAATTTATTTGACATCTGATACAATTTATAGCCTTACTATTCTTTTGTTAATTTACTCCTTCCTTTGAAAATGCTCAGAAATAAAACTTTTAAGAAGTATTTTGAAATTTCCCATATCTTCATGGGAATTATTTAGACCCCTATGAAAGCCACTGATGGTCCTTTTCTGGAGTTCAGATACTCTGTTCTGGGAAAGAGCTAGTTGGTAAACTGTCTAAAGAATGTATTGTGGCTGACACATAGTTGAGAAAATACTCTCAATCATTTTTTGAGGAATTTTTTTAAACACATGGACATTATTGAAGAAAGACAAATGTTTAAACAAATATAATTTACCATGTAATTTTAACTCATAGTAGCCATTTGATTGATGTATGCGTATTTTTCTATTTCTTTTCACAAGATGAAGGAGAATACCACTCTAGTTTGAGTAGAATGGGAAATTTTAGCATAACAAAAGCTTTATGTCACATTAATTAGCTGCAAAGTATCTTTGTGTGTATGTGTTATTTATCATTCATAGTGCTAAAAGTGAAAAGTGTCTGGGACTGAATAATACTCTATTTGCCATCCTACTCTTACTGCTTTTAGTAAGCCTTGTAGGCAAGCATTCATCCCAGTGAAGACAACATTATTTATTCATACAAGATCGAGCCTTTTATGCTACTTTTAAAATTTATGCCTAATTTTAAATCCACAATCTTTGACCAGTAAAAAAGGAGGGGAGTGGAGAAAGACTTATTTGATATATGATTATGGTTGTTTGCACAAATGCTTTCCCACCTCCCTCTGTGGAGCTCCTTTATCCACATGCCACCCGGGAACCCCAGATCTCTAACTTTTAATATATTGTGTGTGCCTGCAAATACGTGTTTGCCTCCTATAAAACTGAAGGTGTATTTTTGTAGATAAGATGGAAATCTCTGAAAATGCATATGTAGTATTTTGTCTTATAGCTAACGTCAAGGAAAAATTGTACATATGGCTTATGTTCCAGCTAATGTCATCAGATTTATGATTCATACTGTGAAATTTTAACACCAAAAATGATTTCCTGCATAATACACAATTTCTAATTGTTACTGGTAGAATAAATTGCTTCTTAGTATCAACCTTTGAACTCTTTTTCTTCTGTAAACTTGGAATTTGACCATTTGATGATTGTAACTTTTTCTGCCATGTCATGTATAAACTTCACTTGGTTTTCTTCAAAAAAAGCAGAAAGTATTGAATTATTCTCATGAAACAAATATTAAGACAGGAATAGAGACTAGCTAGAGGTGACAGTGTATGGTATTTGTCATAAAATCATTTTCTGACATATATAATTTTTCCCTGCAATAATGGGGGTCAAATCTAGGGCTTTGTACATATGCTAGTAAAATGCTCTACCTCTGAGCTACATCTTGTGTGTGTTTGTTTTGGAAACAGTTTCTCACTAAGTCACCAAGCTGACCTGGGACTTGTGCCTCCTAATTTTAGTGACCCAAATTGGTTATTTTATTGTTTCTCATGATGATGACTTAGACTACTCAGAAAACACAATTTTTTTTCTCATGTAACTGCTGATTCAAACTGTTTTCTCTTACAAGAGGCTGACAAGAAGTGGATATTTTGAAGTGTTTAGGAGATTACTTTCTTTTCAATGAAACTGGCAGCAATGAATGCTGAAATGACATTCCTCGCCCATCAAGTCTTTTTGTTCTATCCTCAGGATGGAGAATGTTTGTTTTTTTCATTGGGTTACTATTTTTGTGAGTTGTTTTAAGGTTGAAAAAAGTAATTTTGAATTTCTTTGTTACATTATACTGGTTTATAAAATCCACCATAGTTGCATCATTTGCCCAAGCATATAAATTTCATTAAGCTTTGAGGTTACAAGGTAAGAGATATCTTTAAAATTCACATTTGAATGCCTCTCTTTGGACCCAAGATTCTGGCTTAATAAATTGATCAAGTTTGTCATTTTAAGCTCATCCAAAAGACCAGTATCACTGATATTATTAATAACAATATGAATAAGTGTCATTTACATTTTAGTTTCATACTGAGGCATGTCTTTTGTTTGTTGTCTTCTACCTCCATTTTAGTTTAGAACAAGAGAACATTATAGTAAGACTTTTGCAGTAGATGTAGAAGTGCCTTGTCTTTTTTGAACAAAGATAACATATTATGAGGAAGGAAGCAGAATAAATTAATTGATATATTATTAGATTGCAAATCATCATCTTCAACTAGATACAAGAATACCAATGTATTGTATTTCTTATACAAAACCTGTTTTTTTTTTTGTTTCCCTCTAATCAAGTGATATATTAAGGACAGACTATCATAGAACAGGACTATTAGTCACTGAAGAACTAGGGTAATTTTAATGCTAGTAATCATAATTTAACATAGTTCTGGAAGGATAAAGGTCTTTGATTAAAGCCCTACCAAAACACAACTAAGTATTTAATGTCTGTACGATTCATATTATTCTGTCTGTAAACACTGATTCTAAGAAATGAAACAATATTTATGAATCTTTTAATGAAATTTTTCTTGTTTTTTCATAATTTGAGTAAAGTTTGATAGCATTTGTAAGCCTTAAACAAATAGGGATTTTTCAAGAGTCTGGGAGCTCTAAAAATCATTAGCATTTTTCTTTTCTTTATATATAACTGCCACTTTTTTAAAAAAAATCTAACCTTACTACTACAACATAAAGCTCCCAAGTGATATTTCATTAGAAGTTACCATATTGATGTAGATATATACAAAGGATACAGAAATTATATTCATCCAATGATTGTTTGGAGCACAATCCAGTGATTGTGTTCCCACATGGTGGGAATACTGTTTGCCAATTTGATTATAAATGCTCAAATTTATTAAAATTAGGTCATCTTATGCCTATAAAAGTCTGCTCTTTACAAAAATTCTGTTTTGCAACATATGCCAAATTCCATTTCCCATAAGTGGTGAACTTTTGGAAAATTTTTCACAGAAAAGGAATAAGTTATTAATATCTGTACATGTAATATATAAGCTAAACAATAGATGATAGACAGAAATATAACCTGATTATAAGCCAAGCTTTTCATTTTGTTGATGGCAGCCTGAAAATATATTCCATTTTCTATAGGTTTTGTCAAACTCTTATTAAGTGAAGAAATGATCTAATATTCTGAGCCCCATACAAGTCACCTAAATTGCATGTCAGCCTCTTGATTTGTAAATGACAGGGTTGAACCTAGAGCTGAACAGAAAATTAGAGATTAACCAATACTCTGTGATGTTTGGAATTCTTAGCAATTTTTTACTCTACTCATTATTAGAATGCTTTTTCTCAGATCTACTACCTGTGAGGGAAACTCTCACAGTGCCTTGTACACAGTGAAAGTTTAGTTTGCTGGCTGGCTGTTAGTTCAAGTGTGTTATTATTACTTAGACTCAAATTGATGCCTGTTGGATCTTAGTCTTTCCATGTTGGTAAAAGTGAATATAATTCCCCAGGAACTGAGTACTGAGGTCTCTGCTTTACCTATGTGGAATCTGACTGTACAGTTGATATCCGGGAATGAATTACAGCTTTGACAGTGAATATATATGGTCCATCATTTATGTGGGGAATTTCATAACCGACTCAGCATCTGCTTTAGTATTTTGTCAGGTAACATACCTTCAAAAATTATCTATTGGAACAAACTGGTAAGTCTAGGTGAAAAGGAATGTAAAATTCAAACCCAAGTTAATTCTGATTTAATTCTTGGCTTTGTTGCCTAATTCCTCTGTACCTCATGTCCTCATTCCTGAAGTGGAGACAATAATCTGTACCTACCTCACAGGGGAATTGAGGATTTTTTTGTATATAAATGTATTCTGAAGTTGACTGAAATATATACTAGATATCATAATTATGTAATTCCTAAATAGAGTCACTTAAATCTGTGTTTTTCTTTCTCAGTAAGACCCTACAGAACGAATGTTGCTGTTGTGTTTATTTTTCAGTCAAAAAATTTTGTTACTAATCCCCTATTTGCTAAACATGACTAATTGTACTGTGGTAATAATTGATTAGAGAAGAAAAGCAGATGGAGTAAACCAGTTGTTCCCAGTTTGGGGCAGATGAAGCTAAAAGAGGGATATCCTTGTTCCTTTTGAATTATTTTAAAAAATATCCTGGGAGTCATATATTGACCCATATTTCTACTATACAAGCCAATCAAGGTATGGAATTTTCAGGCATTTTGCTTATATTTCAGTTCTGTCTATAAGCACTGCTTAATCACACTGATCAGAAGGTGTGACTAGTAGTATTTTCATTAATAAAATATTACATGCAATTTACTAAATACTTGAAAATATGCAAAAGAAATCATGAAGAGATTCACATGATGAAAATGTTAGAAACCACTTTTGTAAAGAAACTAAGATTATTTGATTCTCCACAGATTGCTTACCTAGTCCCTAAATAATGAAAGCATGTGCGTGTGTTTGGTAGATAGGTCTATAAATCAAGTTAGAATTCATTTTCAGTTTTCTTTTTTAGGACAGTGTAACTGAACTAATTCACTGAGGTGTGTTCAAGTAATTCTCATATATATATATATATATGTATATATATATATATGACTGCAAATGTGGAAAGTGTTAAGTTTTAGCATTGGTTTATATATGCATTTCTGAGTCTCAAATGTTTCTGTGTATAAACTCAACATGAATCAGGGCAATAATTTCTCAAATATTTTAATTTATATTTATAATATTTAAGCTTTTATCTTGGCTTAATTTTCCATTTTCCTGTTAATCAAATAGTGTAAAATTGCTTTAATGCCTGGACTTTGGAGCAAGTTACAAATGCTTAAAATTATATAATCTCCAAACTAGTTTGCCATCGTTGGACTAATCACAATCAAATGTGAGTTTCAGCGACAAGAAAAGAACATCCAGATAGCTAAAATGGGCACTGATTAAAACATCTGGTCAAAAAGCCTGTAATTTCTACTTTTTGGCAGAAGACCCTCATTGGGACAGCTTTATAAGAAGAGAGTAATAGTGACTGAGTCCACTCAAAGAACTTTTATGCTTCCTGTAGTGTTACATAGCCTGTGGAATCAATTCATGTTTCTCCCATGAGTCCAAGGATGACAATTCTGGAAAAAATCTATATACAGCTGTGCCAAAATAAAGAATACCTGCCTCTCTGGAACTTTAACTGCTGCTTCTGTCATTGTTCACTTGTCAAAACATTATTCTCAGGATGCAAAATTAAAATAAAATGCAAATCTGTATAATATAATTGTGTGTTTTTAGGGGCACATCTCTGTAGTTTCATCACTATAAGATAATTATTTAAAGGTTCTTTTGAAAGTTGTAATTTACATATTGCTCCTTCGCACATTGGCTAGTCTTGTCTGATCTATGTGTAGTTTATGACATTTACTGGATTTGGAGGGCTTTTTGCGCCTCGTGTTGGGCATGTGGCTAGGTGGAAAGTTATTTCAAAGTGACTTTTCCTTCATTCCTCATGCCTACCTAAAATTAAAGGAAAGGTCCAGGCTGCTCCTAAGCTTTCTACCCTCCACCCCCCCCTGCAATGTGAACACAGCAAGATGCTTAAAAGCTAGCGCATTAGAGAAAGGAAAGTGAACAAGAGGTGTTTGAGATGGTCTTGGTGGGCCCTTGGGGAAGCTGAAAGCAGGTGTGTTAATAACCCTGATTAGGGACCTTGATCTGAGTACTGAGAAGACTAGTTCAGAGGCTATAAAGCAGAAGTATCTGTGAATAAGGAGAACCTGGGGAGAGGAGAACAAATAGATCCCAGAATAGAAATCTGCCAATATTTCCTCCAAACACCTCCAAACACAGGATGTCTGTGGGACATCCTGCTCTCTGCTCACTAGACATCAGGCACACTAGCCAGAGGGTGTTCAGTGGTGTGATAGGCAGAAGCCTTGTGAGGAAGAATACAAAAGCTGCAGCAGGATTTGTTTTTCAGGGAAAGGATTGGAATGGAGAAGGACCCAGACAGAAATCAGTGAACATTAATTACTAAACCAGTCACATTATACCATTTCCTCCAATTGGGAGTCTGGCCTTAAGACAAGGACAAAGGCCTACAGGTGGCCATTCCCAGCACTTGCAGCTTAGAAGACTTAGAGGAACATTGAGATCTATGAACTTCCTCACTGGCAGCCACTTGAGCATGTCATGGGGAAAACCAACTGAGAGACCTGCACTAATAAGCAGGTAACTGTGGACCAGAAAAAGTGAAGGAGAGAGAGAACATGTGAAAACATCAACTGTCCAACAAGGCTAGAAGCAATAGAGAACCATGGTCAAGGGTCACCTGTGCTTTCCCTACAGATTGCACCTTATCCACCTATGAACAGAGGGGAAAGAACTGAACGAAACTGCAACACTTTAATACTGACAACACTTAAATAATGTGCTTTTGCAACCACATTTTTTGCTGCTTATTTTTTCTCTTTTTCTCTTCCTCTTTCATTGCTTTATCTCTTCCTATCATCTTTACATCTAGTATAAGTGTGTATGAAGTGTGTATAAATGGAAAGGAGAATAACTGGTACTCTAAATGGTAGCTTTCAGAGGCAATTTAGTGCAAACCACCAAAATTGTGTATAGAGGATCCAAACATAAGCTAACTCTTAACAGGTTCCAACATTCTTGCAACTTCCCTCAATTTGTCCCCTCTACTGCTCTTATAAATACTTTCTCAAACCTCCTCAACACTAGCCTTCTGTCCAGCTATAAAAGTAATTCCCATAGAGTCCAATCTTTGATATTTCACCTATGAGTAGTTCTCTGTCTCAACTTATTTACCTTTCTTTTTCCTTCCCCCTCTTACCCACGTCCCAATCAACCTGTTAGCAGTATAGTGTAGTCTGTATAAGGCACTGAAAAAGGATGAAATTATCAGTGCAAGTTTTGATGTACATAACTGATGGATGGTTAGATCTGCCAACGTTGGTGTAACTGATAGAGATTCTTTCCATGCAACACAGTAGCCAGGTCTGATCCTATTATATTGACTAGGTTGAAGAGGTAGGTAAATACCAAAAAGCAATCAAATCCAAGAACACATCACTAAGGAGACAGTAACTAAAAAGATGACTATATTATCAAAGAAGTCTTTAAATTCTAATCTTCAACCAGCACACACACACACACACACACACACACACACACACACACGGAGAAAGAGCAACAGGAGAAAAAAGAAAACAAAATGCATCAAAAAACTCCTAAGTCCCCCAAAATAGATCAAATGGACATCAACAAGTAAGAAATAAAAAATGAAAAGACTGGATTATATGAAGCGGTTTAAAGAACAAACATCAATAATGTGGTAACCTCAAGGATGATATAACTAAAGAGATAATAGACTTACTGAACTAAATGATCAATGAATTTAACAACATGAATAAAAATGTACTTCAGGTAAAATAATGCAAAACATGAAGTTAGCGAAGAATTAAAAAGTCCAGAAAAGGTGCCAAATAAAAATACAAGACAAAAATTCTGTGGAGATTATGGGCAGCAGAAATGAGCAATGTGAAAAAAGAAGATAAGGCTGAGACAGGTTAAGTGATGCCTTGTAAACAAGATTACCACAGCTGTTATGACACAGAAGACTAACCCAAGATTAATTGAAATTAGAGAAAAGTAACAACATGATGTGAATGACATAAAAAAGCCCTGTTTATGGAAATTGCAACAGAAAGTTTTCTAAGTGCTTAGAAAGAACTTAACATAAGAGTAAGTAAAGTATATAGAACTTCAAATAGCCATAACTGGAGAAGAATTTCTCCATGACTCATCATAGTCAAAATCCCAGCAGTCCAACACAAGGACAAAATTAAATGCTGTCACAGAAAAGCAGTGAATCATCTATAAAGGTAAACTTAGTAGAACAAACTGATTTCTCAGCACAAATCTTAAAGAATTGGAAGAGCACAGAGAAAAGTTCTTGAAGCACTTAAACAAACAAACAAATAAAAAAAACCCTTTAACCCAGGTCAATGTATTTGACAAGACTGTCTTTCAAAACCAGTGAAGAAATTAGGACCTGTCCCAACAAAGAGAACCTTAAGAAATCCATGACTACCAAACCAGCATTACAAAAATATTGCAGGATACCCTAGACAGAGACAATGAAGACAACAGTGAGAATCAGCCTACTGGAATTAATACCCCAACCTAAGTAAACAGTTTTAACATGAAGAAAAAGAAATCAGCAACAGAAAAAAAATGTAATAACAAAAATCAGCCAATAATTTTCAGTGATAATTATCAATGTAAATGGTCTTAACTCTCAAATTGAGCGAGTGGCAGAAAGGATAAAAAACTAATGGTATGCTGCATGCTAGAAACGTATTTACTATTTTAAATATCCCATATATTAAGAATGTGTGAGAAATAGATATTAGATAATCCATTTTCAGCTTGGATGGAAATTTGCTGACCAATACACAGGCAGTAAAGGTAGTTATTTTGAGCTTAACCACCAAATGACCTCACCCAAAATGTCCCAGAACAAGATGTTACAACCAGGTAAATTTGTAAGCAAGTGACATTCCACAAAAGAATGCACATAGAAAAGTAGGTTCACCAAAAAACTGAAAGGAGCTTGAATGACAATCAGAAAGACAGTACCCTCAACTTCAGTCAATAACTGGGGTGAGAGAAGGGACTTTACAAGCTAAGGATAAAAGCTATTGCCTGTTTGAATCAGATATACCTGCTTATGGATTGGCACTGATTTCTGTTCTTTAATGCATTAGAGCAATAACTGGAAATTCTAGGGACAAGATTAAAGACTGCAGGATCATGTGATAAATGGAATGGCATGACTCCTCCTGTGACCAGTGGCTAGAGGGACTGAAGGACTCAAACATCTTTGCATGCAGAACTGAGCAGCCCAGGGATGTCCACATGCCAGTTGCAGTTGCAGAAAGTCACCCCATAGCACCCTCATTCACCTTGCCCAAAAACAAGAGGTTATATACTACAGTAGATGTGAGTGGGAGTGGCAACAGATATACAAGTAAAAGCATGACACCCTCTTGCCCTGCTACTAGTAGATTGAGGGATGTAAGCAGCACTACAACTCACAGAGTAATCAGCTGGGAGGTTAACACTCCACCCTCAGGAGAGGAGAAGGAATTGGTACTGAGTAGCTTTGGACAGCACCTGCACCCCACTCCACCCTGTAGCAAGCAAAGTGAGGGAGAAGTGCCTTGCCAGCATATTACATAGAACTCTACATAGAACACCCCCAAAACCCCATCTGAAGACATACAGATTTAAATATCAAATCAGTAGTTTAGCTAGATATAAAGCAACACTTGAAAATCAATAGCATTCCCGTACATAAATAACAAATCCACTGTGGGAGAAATTAGGGAAATATTTTTCACAATAGCATCAAAACAAAGAAATACTTAGGAATTGATCTAGCAAAGGAAGTAAAATGCCTCTACATTGAAAACTACAGTACTGTGAAAGAGGAGATCAAAGAGGATATCAGAAAATGGAAATAGATCTTTTGATTTTGGGAAGGAAGAACAAACATAGGGGAAAAGTCTTCAATCCAAAATTGTTATTCAGATTTAATAAAATCCCAATCAAAATACCATTAATACACCTCACAGAATTAGAGAAAATAATTCTAAAATGCATTCGGAACCAGAATAGAGCTAGAATAGCACAAGCAACTCTGGGCAAAAATGCAAGACTAGAGACATCACTATCCCTGACTTGAAGTCATGCTATAGAGCTACTGTGATAAAAGCAGCATGACACTGGCAAAAAAAAAAAAAAAAAAAAAACCCAAAGGATTACTGAAACAGATTAATGGATGCAGGAAAAAGTCTAAATATACTGAATCACCTTATCTTTTTATCTTAGAATAAAACCAAACAAAATAAAACAATAGAGCCAATCAAAACAAAACAATGCAAGTGATACAAGGACCTCAAAGGAAGATAATAGGAAATCAACAATGGCTATCATGATATATCTTGTTATCTTCAAGATAACTGCCCATATAATCAGACATAATAAAATCAAACAAAATTAAACAGAATAAGACCAAAGATAACAAAACAATAAAAGTGATACAAAACTTCAAATCAACACAATAGGAAATTAACAATTGCTACCACAATACCTCTTAATATCTTCAAAATAGCT